AGCACCAGGACTGGAGGTTCGGTTTTATTCTTTTTTTCCCCAGAAATGATTTTTGCTTTTCCTCCGGCTTGCCCGGCTGTCGGGAGGGGTACGGACACACTGGGGACTTTCACTCGAACGACAGCTCAAGTGGAAATGAAGTGTGGGAGCATTCTTAACGACAGTAATAAGCCTTACACTTCTCTGGACACTCCGCTCACAGCGCTTCTACAGGTCATGGGGGTCCCCTCCACCCCCACCAGTGGGCAGCCCCACCTGGATGATGCTCCAGTCCTCTCCCCACACAGCAGCTCTCAGTGGGGAGGAGAGCAGAGTGATGAAGCCAGTTCAGAGAGGGGGGTTATTAGGAAGGCTCGATTGGTAAAGGCCAGGGGGGGGGGGATTTGGCCAGGACACCGGGGTAACACCCCTACTCTTTTCGAGAAACACCCTGGGATTTTTAAGGACCACGGAGATTCAGGACCACGGTTTCACGGCTCATCCGAAGGACAGGACAAACGGGAGACGTGTCGGTGCATCAGATAAACCGGAGGATAGAGAGGATCTGGAACGCCCTCCCTCCCTTTGAAGGAAAGGCCTAACGGGATTTTTGGATGAATAATTATCGATTATTAAGGACCGGGCAAGGCGGGCCGTGGGTCAGGGGTCACAGAGGGGGCGGGTCCGGGGGGGCATCCACCCTGCAGTACCTCAGAGCCGCGCAGTCCAGGCCCGCCACCTGCTTGCTGGCCTTCAGCAGGTCCAGAATGCCCCCGGCGCCCCCCGCCTTCACGTCCTCCAGCGTCAGGGCCTCTTCGTCGGTGGTGTAGTCCTCCTGAGGACAGGAACGCAAACGTCAGGCATCGCAGAGGGCTGAGGGACAGAGCCAGGGCGCGTACCGAGTGCAGAGGTCCTGCACTTCCAACCACTGTCTGAACTCTGTTACAGAGGAATCAACCTACTGAGAATCCAAAACCTTATTCAGCTCTCTACATAGTGTCCCTGTGCTGCCCTCTGGTGGCTCTGTGGCTAAGGATCTGTGGCTGGAAGGTTGCTGGTTCGAATCCCGCGGCCAGCAGAGGAATCCTACTCCGTTGGGCCCCTGAGCAAGGCCCTTCACCCCGACTGCTCCAGGGG